CTTACAAATATGCTTGTACTAGTAATGAATTTAGTACTTGCGCTAATCACTACAATTGTAAGCAATAGAAGGAAATTAAGATGTTAAAGTTTTGTAATGCCCTGACAGCCTGATTGCTTTGTGTTAAATGCCTGCGACTATCATCTATTCATTCAAATTGTGATTTATTTGGTGGTAACCACTGATTTAGTATTGTGACTATTGTCCAATGAAGCGAATCTGAAGATTACTGTTAATATTATTCAAAACATTTTAATTATCTATCTTTGGTCAAGTTAAAAGTTTTTTATAACTTGTCTTGGCACCAAGATGAAGAAAACTAGACAGCGTGTACAAAACTTTTGGAAAACACGCCTAAAAGGCTTAAAATGCTCATTGAGAAAAGGGAATGCATACTAAGTATTTAAAAAAATGTGATTTATGTCAAAGAATTTAAAAAATCTCTCATATTCCTGCCTTCAGAGGAAGTATTCTCGTGTAGTATAATCCTCAACCCTACAAAAAGCCTCTGAGCTAAATTCAAATTACCCGTTTCATTACCTGAGATAATACTTTGTTCTCTTCTAGATGGCAAAAAGTAACGAAATTGCACGGTCAGACAGACGAGCGGCTTGACGGCCGAGGCTCGACAAGTAAAATAAAATTTATTATTTAATTATTAAAACATTTCTGAATTAGAATTTAGTCCATTTGTTAATAAATAAATAAAATTGTCTGCGTATTGTGACTCTTCTTTGGTACATATGCATACTAAAAGATGAAAAAGAGTTTTTTATGTGTTTGGAACTAATGATACTCATCAATATCTAAGCTGCTTTGGCGAGGAAGATTATGTTAAACTTATCCAAGCAAGCCACACTCCATATATCTGCTGGAGGTCCATATCGAGCCCCAGACAACACTCAAGGGGAGCGGTACTCCGTCTGAGCATCTTCAGGCAGTGTGTCATTCTATAACAAAAAAAAGCAAATAATAGATTTGTTTACTATAATTTTATTTCATGGCGCAAATGCATTTAGGAGAAGATTCTTGGAGGATTCCAACATTCCATGAACAAGAAATCCCATTGTTGCAAGCTGAACAAATACATGCTAAAATCATTTAATGGTTCTATAGAAATTTAAATAAATTAATTAATAAGCTGGTATCTAAACAATTTGAAATTTGATATCATACTAAAGAGATTAAAATTGAAAGCTGCATTTTGGCAAAAATTTTCCAACAAAAAGACAGAACAAATAAACTTCTGTGTCCAGTGTTATTAAAAGATACTTTCACTTTAATACCACAAACCAATTTTTTTTAACAAACATTTTTTTAGCACGATCAAGTTTTACTACAAGGTTTCAAGTTAACAATAACATTAAATAACGTAAGTATATTTTAGCAGACAACCAATAAGTTATTTTGTTACGACATTGTCCTTAATCCATGTAATTTAAATGGAAGTAAAGATGCACATTTGTTAACTACAAAATAAATTAGGAATTTAGAACAAACTAATTAAAATCAGTGTTATACAGCAGACTCGGATAGTTAGTACATAGCTCAAGGTAAATAATGTATAAAAATCAATTTGTTTACCAATACCTGTTAGCAGTAGAGACATAACATAGAAGTATCATCAATATATCAGTTTTCATGACTTGACAAGAAAATAATAACAAATTAATCAACATGCGAGGCCTAATCTGATATTAGGGGATAGAAATTCAATCAATTTAAAAATTTCAAAACTGAAACAAAATTTAATACAAAACAGAAAATAAAAAAGTCACAAAGAAATATAGATTGTTCAATATCCCAGAGAAAAATAAAGAAAAAATTTTAAATACAAATAAGTAACAAAGAAAACAATAGTAAGTAGTCATGACAAACAGCGAAAATCCATCCATGCGAAATGCTAAGTTGCACAACAATCTTGTGGACATCCTTAAGATGAATCGGCCTACCAGAGAAGGGAGACCAAATCAAGACATGCATACTCTAGGATGGGCCTAACTAGAGTTAAAGAGAAGTTTGATCTGTAAGAGTGATTGAAATTGTAATGAGTTTTACAGGATAAAACCTAGGATTGCAGAAGCTTGTTAACAAAACTGTTTTAATGTGGTTGTTGAAATTGAGTTTACAGTCAAAGATATCTCCAATCACTTGACGCAGCCAAAATCTCCCAATGTCTATATAGAAAACTAACATGTCCTGCTTCTGGAAGAGCAATGGTATAGCACTCGTCATGGTGCAATGATATGTTGTTCAGAAGACACCATTTTCAAACTGCTAGTAAATCAAGTAGCAACTTGATGGCGTCATCAGTATCAGCTGATGAACAATAAATCTTAGCGGTCATCAGCAAAAAGAAATATATTACTGTTTTAAGACTGTAGTATATCAGTGATCAGACGGAAAATTTGACGGTAGTTTGTCACATCAGATTTATCATTTTTTCCATAACTAGGAATCTTGCTCTTCTTCCAAACATCAGGAAAAGAGCCCACCTCTGAGAATATATTAAACAGTAAGAAATTAATGGACTAGCTATTCATATCTGCAATGTGACGAAAACAGATTAGGTATGGAGACTATATTTAGCCCTTACTTGCACTTTAAGGCAGGCTTCTCAAACATATCTCACGACCGTGTTGAAGATTGTCAATGAAAGGGTCCTTGACAACCAAAATCTGAAAAAACTCGCAAGAAGATAATTTGTGTTGTTAAAAATTGTTTTCCAAAGTAATTGTATCTGCAAAAAATGGATTGGTTGTGGCTCAATTCTAAATAATATCCCGAGAGCGTTATTACACGGATATGTTGTGAAGTTTCTTTCTTATGTACAATAAAATTACATTCTATTTTCAAAACATTGATGCTAGGAAGAATATAGATTCTTCACCAGAAATACAATTATACGCAGGAAAGAAACTTTGGAATCAATGTACTTTGACTTTACTCTGAAGGCACAAAAAACAGATCATAAGAGTCAGATAGATTTATGATTATGAAGTA